ATACGGGAGATATTTTTTAAGGAAATTATTAAATCATGGAGAATTTTGTTATGATTTTGTTATTTAGAAGGAAAAAGTTTGCATTGAATAACACAGTCATTCTACGATAAATAGACCAATTGAGAGTAAAAAACATGAAAAAACTAATTGTTTCAAATAGCAAAATGAACATCATAATTCTCTAAAGGACATATCAGTGAACTTGAAAACAAAGAATTGTCCACAAATCTGGTATCGTTAACTTTTTACAACAATTTCAAGATACCATTGTTTTTAAGGTAATGTGATGGAAGTTAATGCTCGATCAAGCCTTATTATTTTTTAAATAAAGCTGAATTTGAACCAATTTTTCGTTTCTGATGTTCAGTAAAGAACGCAAAAGTATGATTCATGAAATCTCGCATAAATCCGAATTTAAATTAAATTTTCGGGAAAAATATCGTTACGGAAGTTAATTCCCAGCAATAAAAGTTAAAATTCTCTTCAATAGTTAAAATCAAAGTTTGTTTTAGGATATTAAACAAAAGTGTGAAGCATTTCGCTCCCAAACTAATAAAAAAAAATTATACTTTTAATGCAAAAACTGTCCTGAATTACCGTTACGGAAGTTAAATTTTTAAAAGAGACAACTGTTTTTGTCTAATTCATTTTTTTATATCGAAAATGTAATCGTCTAAATAGCTGACTCGCATCTAGAATCGATGATATTAGGTTCCGTGGTCACTTTCAGATAAGTTTCAGTTCTTTTTGAAATCTGCATTCTATGCGTGAAATTTAAAAATAAAATCGTTAAGGAAGTTAATCGATTTTAAGCGACATGCTCATGATTTCGCATGAAAGGAGATCCATGCATTTCTTTGCGAGAAGTGGATTTATTTCTTTTTATATAGGATAAAAGACATTTTTATGCCTCGCCATGAATAGTGTTCGTCATGTTCGTCTTCCGTCCTTCTGTCCTTCCGTTACACTTTGCGTTTAGCTCTGTTCAAAGCTCAGTTTCAAAGAAACTATCCAAGATATTTTTATCAAACTTTATATGCTGATAGATATTTATGAGAGCTATGCAACTGCGTCAACATTTTTTGACCTTGACCTTTGGTTTGATCTTGACCTCACTTTTCTTAAATTGGTGTTTAGCTCAGTTTTAAAGACACCATTCAAGATAGTGTAATCAAACTTCATATGTTGATACATACTGATGTAAGCTATTCAACTGCATCAACACTTTTTTTTACCTTGACCTTGTTTTTGACCTTGACCTCACGTTTCTTAAATTATTGTTTAGCTCAGTTTTAATGAAACTATTCAAGATATTTTTAACAAACTTCATATGCTGATACATACTGATGAGAGCTATTCAACTGCATCAACAATTTTTGACCTTGACATTTCCTTTGACCTTGACCTCACTTTTCCTAAATTAGTGTCAAACTTCATATGCTGATACATACTGATGAGAGCTATTCAACTGCATCAACAATTTTTGACCTTGACATTTCCTTTGACCTTGACCTCACTTTTCCTAAATTAGTGTCAAACTTCATATGCTGATACATACTGATGTAAGCTATTCAACTGCATCAATATTTTTTCACCTTGACCTTTCCTTTGACCTATGTCCACTTTTCTTAAATTAATGTCAAACTTCCTATGCTGATACATACTGATGAGAGCTATTCAACTGCATCAATATTTTTTGACCTCGACTTTTCCTTTGACCTTGACCTCACTTTTCTAAAATTAGTGTTTAGCTCAGTTTTAAAGAAATCATTCATAATATTTTTATCAAACTTCATATGCTAATACATACTGATGTAACCTTTTCAACTGCATCAACATTCTTTGACCTTGACCTTTCCTTTGACCTTAACTTCATTTATTTAAATTAGTGTTTAGCTCAGTTTTAAATAAACCATTCAAAATATTTTTATCAAACTTAATATGCTGATACGTATTTATGAGAACTTTTTGACCTTGAACTTTTCTGGGACCTTGACCTCACTTTTCTTAAATTTGCATTTTGCTTAATTTAAAGAAACCATTTAAGATATATTTATGTAAGCTTATGCACTTATACATAATTTGGTGAGAATTTATCATCTATATCAAACTTTTAAGATTTCAATTTCAATTTTAAAGAAATTATTCAAGATATTCTCATCAAATTTCATACACTAATACAATTTTTCATGTTGCATTACTAATATACCCTCGGCGGGGCATTCATGTCCTATGGACATACTTGTAGTTTAACATTCATTGCAATCTTTTCGGAACGAGTTTACGGTTGAACATTTCATCTTGAAATTTGTAAATAAATGAAGCGACATTAAGATTTGCAGTGGAATACGTTTTTCAACATTACATTATGTTCATATCAAAACTTTAACTGCATATATATCGGTAAATATTTACAAAACCTTGTGTGAATGTGAAGTCCTAGAGTTGAAGTCGACCTTTAAAGGATGACTGCGCTTAACGCCTGTTTTTGGGTCTTTTTCGGTTGCTTCTGTTGCTTTCATATCTAAACCTTATTCCACTTTTGTATGTTTATGAAAGAATCCTGTCAAATTGGAACCAAATTTAATCTTAAAATGATTTTAGACTGTGATACAATAAAATGTTTCAATGTTTTTTGTCCCTACTGCTTTCCAAATATAGTGAATTTACACTTACCTGCCCTTGATTGAACATTAGATATGCATGAGAGGTGGAGCTAACATTGTAAGAATGGGTCTAAATTTAGACTTGATAAATAACAATGACATGTTTGAAAAAAGGAACGTGATCACTCTTTCCAATCTCCCTCTCCATTCTGTATGGCACAAATACACTTCTGACAAAGGTTTCAAAACGAAACTAGCAATATGAGCACTTCAATGTAATTAAAGCAGATTGTATATCAATGCCAGATGACTTAACTATTCGAACACAATGTCCTATAGTTAGCACAATAATGCTATCTTACAAGTCACGTGACGGAATTTAGCATTCACAAAGTTACCTGAGGTAGGACATCACGTGGTGAATTATAATATTCAACATGTCACAATCCTTGGTTACAACACTGAGAGCGAATGTAAGAAGAAGCAGTTTTTTTCTCTTTTAAACCATGAGCGCATGTTTGTCTATTTTAAAATCTCCTTTTGACACATTATTATTTATGCAAATATACAACTACTGTTAAACGTAGAAAAATAGACAAACATGCGCTGACTATGTATAAAATCAGTAAAAAAAAAAGTGGGCGTCCTCATTATCGCACGGAGATTCAAGAAATTGTGATGACCCCTGCCTTTGAAAACAGATTCGAACTTCGTAGGTACACACTTTTATTAAACGTAATTACATAAAGTTGTAGATTGGATGTTGACCATTCTTGCAATGAAAAGAAAAATGCTTCTTTTGAAAGTTTATTTTGTCGCAAATTTCGCATATCCTTAAGTGCAGTCATCCTTTATAGTCAAGATACTACAACGGTAAATTTGTTGGCGACATAAAAAATTCTTAATTGGTCATGTTTTTTGTAGAATGACTGAATAAAAACCATAAAGATATTGTATTGAATAATAGTTCAAAATATATGGAGGAATACCATATTAAAGAAAACACTTTTTATGATTTCAATGACTACAAAAACTTATAATAACAAATGACATTAAAGGCATAATCAACAGACTTGTTCGCAAATATACATAAAACCAAAATCAACGATCCAGATAACCTACATGCAAAACGAACAATTATCTTTGCAGAATGAACAATACATGAAAACACGACAAACCATTCAACACAAAACAAATGATTATAAATGCGTGACCGTGTAATTTGCCAAGTAAATGAAAGTAAAATCAATATAAACAGCCTGTCACCAAAACTTTGCGCTCTGTGTTCGCTCCTCGCACTTGCCGTTTGCTCAGTTCATAATTTCGCCCTTTGTACACGTACGCTTTCACAGTTTGCTTATCCTAAATCATTTTATCATTTAGCAATATTCACTCATTCATATGTCGAATTGATATATCCCACTGAACTCGAAAAAAGCACCATAAGGTCTTACTAATCTATTTCTGGTTATCTATATTATTATCTATATTTGGTTTACTAGAGAAGACAATGATAGTTTTCCACCCATTAGATTCCATGCTCAGAGCATGTTTTACGCAAAAACAATATCTATACCGAAGCGGGCAACTGACAAATAAGTTAATGATAAAAATGTATCAAGGATCTTTCAATTTAAGCCAATTCTATGGTGACTAAAATAACTTATTGTTAGATTGAATGTTGACTGCTTCTTCAACAAATTGTTAGCCATTATTTTCATACTGAATTGTCTACGGATTACTTCGTTCACCCAATCAAGACAAAGGGCTTATAGTGGGTTTGACCGGTTGAAAGTCGGTGCTTACTCCCACCTGATCCCATCTTTGATGTTTTCAGGGGTCTGGTTAATTAGATTTTTGAGCATGATAACTGTTGGTTATATTCACATTTCATTACACGTTTAATATTGTGACCTGAGAATGTTTCGAGAGCTCATTGGAAAGACATGTATGTGACTTTCACATTTCACATGATATTATGTGACTTTCACATTTCACATGATATTATGTGACTTTCACATTTCACATGATATTATGTGACTTTCACATTTCACATGATATTATGTGACTTTCACATTTCACATGATATTATGTGACTTTCACATTTCACATGATATTATGTGACTTTCACATTTCATATGATATTTTTTGTTATACGGTGATTTATTACTATTTTAGGTCTTATTATGACTCCCCATTGTAAGTCTTTTATACTTTTTATCTTAAACTATGTGAGTGTGTAAAAAAGATACTTTAGGAATACATATTCAAATGTTTCAGAAATGAGAGTTAAAAATTTTCATATTAACATATCATTTGGTGTAGGTTTTCAGGAAACCAAACTTCAACAGTTGCATGTATTATGACAGGCAGAAGACAAATAAACAATATATGTTTAAGTTGTTAATTTATTATTATCTTCAGCACAAATATCTTGAAATAACATTTCTGGTGTCCTGCATGATAAATGACCAGAGAAAGACTAGAAGTGTCTTTAAAACAAAAAAAAAAAATGTATAAAAGTACATATACTAGTGTTCGATTGTTCAGAATAAAAACATTCTGTTGCCATTTTTATATCAATAATAAAATTGCTAGTAAATTCAGAGCTCACACTTTCATCAGGATAAATAAGGAAAGCTTATAATGAAATTATTTAGAGAAGGCAGGTCAGAGGGTGGTGGGAATTATAATACAGAAATTTTAGATACTCAGTAGTAAGTACAAGAAATGTAGTTTACTTCTAGGCATTGATATCATGTGCTCATAGCTTGATTTTCACCTCATCAACACCAGAATAATAGACATTAAACATTTATCATTCATATGATGTCAAGTATATTTTTATGGACAGCAGAAAAAAAATCAAATGTATGAATTGTATGTTATAGAATCTCCATTGTAAGCAATCCCCATACACATATTTGTTCCCAAGACATTTAAACAAAACAAAAAACACAGCTGTTTGAAAAAGCGTAATACAATGCTTAGTACTTATTCTCAATTTTCAGGCCAAATTAACACTAAAATGCAATATTTTTCTAAATAGTCACTTGGCATCTACTCAGAATTCATAGTAAATTCAAAAGACATGAAAATTGTAAGTTGGAATTATTATAGGCTAGTATCACAGAAAAATTGACAGTAATACTTTTATATCATAATCATAAACAAAATGATCCACTGCTTTGAAACATTATATTAAGTGTCATTTAATAGCTTGGTGGGTAAATTTCAGATCTTTTGTTGAGACAGCCATGGAAACAGTGTGTGAATCACTGTGCTTTCTTTGAAGGGGAGTCTGGGATCTGCTGAGATAGTGGGGTTAATCCCAAGAGAAGAATATGCCTCTGATATGCCTTACTGGCACGGAAAGATGTGTCTGTCCCATGGAGACGATCCAAGATCCCAAGAACTCCAAAATTGTTAATAAACCTAACAATCAATATAAATTTATTACCGAAGATGCATTAGATGTACAACTGCAGCTCTTTTGGTTGAATATGTCTTTTGGTTAATGAATGCATAGAATACAAAAATAGTTACAAAACAAGAGGCCTAAGGGCCTTGAAGGTTACCTGAGTATAATGTAACAATCCATAGATTAAAACAAAATAAGTTTATAAATGAAGCTATGTTACCCAAAAGCAAGAGAGAAAGATTGATCAGGGATCAGTAAAATATTAATTTAGTACTCAGTAACAAATCTTAAAGTTGATGTATTTTTATTGCCTGGACTTTTCCCCAATTTGCACAATGCATTAAGATGGACAAAAATGGATAGCAATAGGTCACCTGAGTAACTCAGGTGACCTAAAAAGAGGTGAATGTTTTACAATGATCTTCGATCTGTAGCTCTCTGGTTTGTCTGTTCAAATTTTCTCAACCAGAGAGCTACAGTTGTGCTGCTATACCCAACATGTTCTTGTCACCTACCCATTTAATAATTTATCTGTCATACATGACCATAAAAGTTAATAAAAATCTTTTGATATGGTAACTTACGTTTTGTGGTGGTAGTCATGGGCCTCTGGTGATGGTAACAGGGGGAAGTGGTAACCACAATGAGCCACAGTGGTAGACAGAAGAGCTATAGAGAACCAAAGCCAGGCAGAGCAGACATGAGACCCCATCAGAAAGGGGCCAAGGACGGGGGGTAACAGATTACTGACTAGGTGCTCTATGGGGTGAGCATACAGGGATATTATGCCTATAGGAGCAGTCCATTCATGATGACGTTTGTGGATGTAAGAGTACAGATTTCGGTGGTGCAGGAGTCTGAAAGTGACATATTTATTTGCAAGTACCTGAACAAGTATATTTCATGACATTTTAGGGCTATCTATTTGGGCAAAAATTACTGATTCAATGTCTGTTGATCTGTTTAAAATTTTTTATACCTTTTAAGTAGCATGCAAGAGAGTCATATCATTAAATTTTCATATTCACTAACCTGTGAGAGTAATAGAAAAACAGCTCTTCTACGAGAGAAAACACTGTTAATTCCAGCAGGAACCAGTGAAAGGTGGGTAGTTCCCCTTGAAAGACACAGCCCCTCCACTTCATCAGGTAGTACATCCCAAACATGAATGGTATGGTGATCACAGTTTGATTAAACAACACTACCTGTATAGCTCTTTTCAGCATTGGCTTCTGTTTCTGGTATTGAATTTTTACAAAAACATTATGTATTATTTCTACAATGTTATGATTTTAATGGAGTCTGGAAAATATGTTGCATTTCTAGAAATTTAAAAGCAGTTCGTTGTTAGATAAAAGTTATTATTAACAAGATGTACTTGTGAAACATTTTTGTTTTGACAGTTCATTGCAAAGTTAAAAGTTTTTTTTAGAAGTTGATAAAACTCCAGGGCCATAAAGTCAAAAATGTTGGTACTCAAAGGTCTTGCCACAAATACAAATGAGAAATATGAAAGCCCTAAAACTAACCATTCAGGAAATATGGCCAAGGTTAAAGGTTTTCAAAAGTAGGTCAAACTCCAAGGTCTAAGTCATAAGGTCAAAACGTTGGTATCCAAAGAAAAGCCTCGTAAAAAGTAATACAAATGTGGAATATAATATGTGAGCCCTAGCACCAACCGTTCAAAAAGTATGGTCAAGATTAAAGCTTTTGCAGACGAACAGATGGACAGACCAAGAACTATGTGCCCCCAAATCTTCGGTTACAGGCATATAATAATTTCACTTTGTTGATTGAAGAAACCTATTTTTCCCTTACATCTTACACATTTTTTATTACATAAATACCTACCTCTGGCAGAGGATCTTCCTGTATCTTATATTTAATCAAACATTTTGGCCACTTTGTTACTTCCATTATAAGGAGAAAGAAGTTGGCCAACCAAAACACACTCATGGTTACTATGTAGGTCCCTGCATGCGATAACAAAAATTTTACATATTGATTTACAGTATATAATCAGTAAATATAGGAAATCCATTAAGATAAATTTAAAAATGGAACTTACCAACAACACCAATAAATAGATCATTTTCTCCAAAACTAAGACAGATCCTATCCCATATTTTCTGCCACAAATTCCCTGATGCACCCCATATTCTCTGAAGATGCCTGAAAACCAGAATTTTCTGAGCTATATGGAGAACCAGTTTTATATGGAGTCCATACAGTAACCTGCACACATACTTCAAATATAACAAAATACCCAGGAATTTCAGATAGAAACTCCAAGAATGCATCACACTGTTATTATTGCCTGTAATTATATATCTAAGAGTTTCTTAGTGTACATGTAGGTCCTTCCACTAGTTGGTATAAATGATATTCCCTCAAGCTATATTGTTTAGTGTTGTACAATATTATTTTCACAGTTACAACTAACATCTTACAATGAATACCGGGTACATTTTAGCTGTACATCACTCTTGGCAATATCATGAAATACAGATGTATTAAGTTAATAAACAATTTTATATATATATTACACAATAATTGCCATTTTGAGGTCAAATCGATGATTTAGCCACCTGAGCAGTAAAATATTCACCGAGCTCCAAAAATTGCAATAATGCAATATAATAATATTTTGATCTCAAAAATTGTAATAACTGTTTTATCTTATGATTCAATGATAACTGATACAAGCTCATTATACAGTCTATGTTATCTTGCTTGTTTACATTTGCTGAATTCCTAGTCAAATGAGAGATAAACATAACCATGCAGTTGTATTAATTTGGAATTTCTAAATCTGTTTCTGGTGCAATGAAGAAAAAAAGGCATGTAGCATCCATTTTGAAAAGAGGGGATTATAAGGGACACCCCCCCCCCCCCCCAAATGATAAATTGCAAAATTCTCCAAACTCTACATTTAATTTTGGATGAGGGCCAATTAATGTTTGAGGGATATCAGTTATACTGTATCAGAAAGTGGGTGAATAAGCCTTTCAATGAATATTTTCATACAACATTAGTAGTAAAAATTTACGTCCAGAAAAAAGTGGGGGGTCTTGTATGGTCCCAACCTACCCAATGGGGGTTGGGGGAGGGGTGGGTCATGATTTTAACAAATTTGAATCTACACTAACTGTGGATGCTTCTATATTTCTTTGACTAATCATGGTTTTAGAAGATTTTTCCCTATATATTTCTTTGTAAAACTTTATACCCGATTTTGCTAAGATTGTATCAAGACCCTGTGGTACATACAGACACAGTACCACGGGGCAATATTTTGCTGCAATCTTGTAAATTAGTCAATAAATCTGATGAAAGAACTGGTTTAAGATATGTAGGATATTCCAAATTAGTAATACTCAAAATATAAAAAAGAAATTGACTGAATTTTTTCAGCTCAAGGTCTTGCTCCTGCTTCATTATAGAAGTGTCCTCAGTTAGCATATATTCAGTTTGTTGAAATCAACTTGCCAGGGTTGAGTTCGACCACTTATATATTTAAACTTTTCAATACTGAACTGATTTCTGCTCATCCCTAGCCAAAGTGCTCAGGTGAATGATGTGGTCCATGGGCCTTTTGTTTATGCATGGGGCACGAATATTCAAGGATTCAGAAAAGATTTACAATAAAATTTCAAAATAGCCATGAAAATCAATGATCAATCTATGTTTAGAAGCACAGATAACATATATATACCAGTATGTGGAATATGATTGATTGATAGATATCAATATATACATTGTACCTTACAAGGTCTTACCAACAAATTCAATGACTTTAAACCTGAAGGTTTGAGTTTGGCTGAAGGCAATTTTAAATGACACAAAAAACACTAACGCTAATGAGCATTTAAAGAGATTTGACCTCGGACAGATGAGTGAGTTGGAAATTTAGAAAACTGAAAGGTTGATATACAGTAAAACTTTGTTATCTCAAATTCAATGGGACTGAGATTTATCCAAGGGTTTGAGATATAAGGTTAAATTACATCAAGGAAAAATTGTTGGGTCTTCCAAAAACTTCATCATATCCATGCTATGCATAATATTGATTTTTGAGATACTGATGTTCAGCTGTATGCATGCAGTTGAGCTAAAAATAATGTTTGTTTCATAAATAATGGATGTATTAGGGACTAGCATGTAGAATGGCAAAAAGGCAGACAAAACAATTGCAACCTCTTTAACCATGTGAATATTACACCAGGGGTGTGCAATTACCATCGCCCGACGCCCGGGGCTACCAATTTTAGAGGTTGGGCTATCATAAATCTATACTGCATTAGCCCGTCGGGCTAGTAAATCTAAAACGAAAGTATACATATATTTACATCGACTGAATTGATGTACGAATTAACTTTGTTGTAAAATCATAATCTTTAATTCGTTTTAACCTACATATATATATTGTGTTGCTATCGCCAGTCGTTTCAGTGACAGTTATAGTCGAAGTACCTGACAATAACAAAGCGCAAACCATTATTTGTTTTATTTATTTCAACTTAAATGGTTTTTTTTTTACCTTTTTGTTATACTTATACATGTATTGTTTTCAATACTTAATGGGCTAGTGACTGACAACCTCGGGCTAGTAACTTTGTTACTGCCACTAGCCCGATGGGCTATTAACTAATTTTTGTAATTGCACACCCCTGTACACCATAATGTAAACAAAAAACTCCCTATGGCAATACTGCCACATTTTGAAGTCTTTATAATTCAGAAAGAAAATGAAATCTTACCTTTAATCATGGACATCATACAGTGTATTTTGCTTTGCAATTCTGTCAATTATTTATATATTTTAGGAATGACTCTAATTCTTGGCCAAATTATTCGAGTATAACCTGGTTTGGGTCAGTTTACGCTTTATAATCCGCGAAGCGGATTATAAAACAGCATAAACTGACCCAAACCAGGTTATACTCGAATAATTTGGCCAAGAATTAGAGTCATTCCTTAATAATTTAATTTTGTTTGTATTCTTGCCTCTGATTGGTTAATATCCAAAAAGGAACACAAATTATTTCTGTATAACTTAGTTTGGTATGGGGACACACCCCCCTGACAACCAGCTGAATTATCTGTATCCATACAATCCTCTCATTTCCAGTCCTCGAGATTCATGGAAAATTCCAGATTTAATAAACGTACCTTTAACTTCAAACAATAATTCGCTCTTACCACATGTAAAAAGGCTGCTAGGCCTATGTATCAGTTTTTACCTCCCCTTGCTTCCCATCACTTCCGTTACTTCCGTTACTAAGGTTGTATTATTGAGCGGCAAATTTGAACTAATAAAAAGCAACGAAGTTTTACACCCATAGTTATTTCATGATTTTAAAATTAAATTATAAGGAATGACTCTAATTCTTGGCCAAATTATTCGAGTATAACCTGGTTTGGGTCAGTTTACGCTGTTTTATAATCCGCTTCGCAGATTATAAAGCGTAAACTGACCCAAACCAGGTTATACTCGAGTATAACCTGGTTTGGGTCAGTTTACGCTGTTTTATAATCCGCTTTGCGGATTATAAAGCGTAAACTGACCCAAACCAGGTTATACTCGAATAATTTGGCCAAGAATTAGAGTCATTCCTAAATAATTTAATTTTAAAATCATTAAATAACTAAGGGTGTAAAATTTCGTCGCTTTTCATTAGTTCAAATTTGCCGCTCAATAATACAACCGTAGTAACGGAAGTGCTGGGAAGCGAGGGGAGGTAAAAACTGATGCATAGGCTAGCGGCAGCCTTGTTGTTTGTTTACATGTGGTAAGATCGAATTATTGTTAAGTTAAAGGTACATATATTAAATCTGGAATTTTCCATGAATCCCGAGGACTGGAAATGAGAGGATTGTATGGATACAGATGATTCAGCTGGTTGTCAGGGGGGTGTGTCCCCATACCAAACCAGGTTATACAGAAATATTTTGTGTTCCTTTTTGGATATTAACCAACCAGAGGCTACAATACAAACAAAATTAAATTATTATTAGATATGTCTTAAACTAACCAAGTAATGGAGTTGCTGGCCGCATAAAACACAATACATGCTGTCCCAAGGATAAAGATTGCCTTCTTTATCGATTCAATGATTTTGGTTACTCTGCTCCTATCATGGGGATCTGCTGGAGAGATGGGGCTGTCCACAGAATGCATTTTCGTTCCAATGTCTGAAAATTCCCTAATTAAACGAGATAATAATATATTATTATCTACTATAGATACTTTAGAGCAATGAAAATAAATTATTCTCTTAACATCAATGAACGATCGTTATTCAACATTTTGTCTTTGGACAGTTTGGTGAAGGTTACTGTAGACGTAAAACAATCACATACAAAATTCGTTTCATCTTTGATATCGCTGACTAAGCAGAATTTTCTTATTTATATAAAAAAAGAAATAACAAAAAACTTGCCCTTTCCTTGTTGTTTGTCCCTGTATGACCCTAAGCTAGCTTTTCCGTTATGCAGTTTGTTTACGATGTTTATGTTTGTCAGCTGTCAAAAAGATCGAATCCCGATCCCGATTCATTTCTGGAATATTCTCGACAGTTGCATTAATATAGAAAATCTCGTTCACGATATCATCACATCTTTATTCATTTATTTTCTTTTTTCTCATTTAATTTATTTATTCCCCTACTAACCCACCCGCTCCAAAACACTCTTTCAGATTTATCTCCCCCTTTTTTCGTTTCTAAAACTGTGTTGTTTTCATCTCCCTCCCACACAAATATACGAATATTTTATTAACAGGTGACTTCAATGCAAGAACAGGTATTGAACTTGATTACATTAGGGGAGATTCAACCTCTTACATTCTTATAGACAATGAAATGTATAATATTGATGTAGATATCGGGGTAAGACACAGTAGAGACAAAACACTAGACTGTAGAGGCAAAGATTTACTAGAAATGTGTGTTACAAATAAACTAAGAATAACTAATGGCAGAACATTTGGTGATTGTCGAGGAAACTATACATGTCATAATTATGCAGGATCTAGTGTTGTAGATTATTTTATTGTTTCAGAGGAACTTTTAGAAGATATTTTATATGTTCATGTGGCAGATTTTATACCACTTTCAGACTGTCATTGTAGGTTATCTATGAAATTATTATCCTCTTTTGAACGTGAGAATGTTTGTGAGAATATGATACAAATGCCTAGTAGATACAAGTGGGACAATTTTTCAGTAGAAAATTTCCAAAAATCCTTTTCTCATCCTACAATTCAAAAAAATATAAACCAATTTTTGGAGAAACCTATTGAACAAAATGAAAAAGCATAAACGATGCCACAAATTTTATTCACAATATCATTGATTCAGTCGCAAAATTATCCCTTACACCCAAAAAATTACATAAAAGAAACAAAGCAGCAAATAAAAAATGGTTTGACCACGATCTCAAAAAGAAGAGAAAAGTATTAAATGAAAAAGCATTACTCCTTTCAAGATATCCTCAAAATCCACTCATCAGAGGCTCCTACTATAAATTCAATAAAGAATATGCTAAACTAAGAAAATACAAAAAAAGAGAATTCAAGCGAATCATACTTGACAGGTTAGACCAACTTAACGAAAATAACCCTAGAGAGTATTGGAAGTTAGTAAATTCCCTTCACGAACTAGAGGACAAGAAAGACAGAATTGAAAAATCCATTGATGGTGACACTTGGCTAGATTATTTTCACTCCTTAACAAAGGTACCAGAAAAATTTAAAGATAGCATTGCAACTATTGAAAATAATATCCTGAAATTAAAAAACATTCAACTACATACTTCCTTCACCCAGTTAGATTTTAAAATATCCTCTGCTGAAATTCATAAAGGTATGAAATCCTTGAAGTCCGAAAAAAGCCCAGGGTTAGACAATATCACAAACGAAATGTTGAAAGCATCACATACATACCTAAACACCTGCCTCCTGAAGTTATTTAACACAATATTTAATACTGGCATTTACCCAGAGAAATGGCTAGAAGGATATACAACACCAATATTTAAATCGGAAAATCCAAGGATCCCACAAAATTATAGAGGAATAACAATAACAAATAGCATTGGGAAACTTTTTAACACTATTTTAAATAATAGGCTTGATACTTTTTTGATTGAAAATAATATCATTCACGAAAGCCAAATTGGATTCTCAAAATCATCAAGAACATCAGATCATCTATTTGTTTTGAAGTGCCTCATAGATAAATACATCAATTCAAAGAACAGACACTTATATGTCTGTTTTGTGGACTTTCATAAAGCTTTTGATACAGTTATCCATGAAGGTATAAAACTAAAACTTCTCCAACTAAATATCAATGGTCTTTTCTATAATATATTATGTAACATGTATAGACACTGTAACATCCGAATTAAGATAGACGACAAACTTACAAGTCCTTATTCACCAGAAATTGGCGTACGTCAAGGGGACGTGTTAAGTCCAAATATATTCAAAATATTCCTAAATGATCTTTCTACCCTACTTGAAGAAGATAACTCATGTACCAATAATGTTTCCTTATCAGGAAAGAAAATTTCAGCTCTTCTGTATGCAGATGACCTTGCTTTAATATCTGACAACCAAATTGATTTGCAGAACAAACTAAATCTATTGAATAAATACTGTAATAAGTGGTGTCTAGAAGTAAATTGCAACAAAAAAAAAAATCATTTTTAACAAAAGTGGCTGTCTAATTCAGGAACCCTTTTTTCTTGGAAATAGAGAAATTGAATGTGTCAAAAGGTATAAATATCTGGGAATAGTACTGTATTCACCCGGCTCCTTTAAAGAAGCAAAAGAAACATTATTTAAAAAAGCTTTGGTAGCCTCCTTCAAACTCCACAAAGATATGAAATCATCAGAACCATCTATAAAAACTCAGCTACACCTTTTTGATCACTTAATCAAACCAATATCATTATACAGCTGTGAAATTTGGGGCATGTTATCTAAATGCAACATTGAAAAAAATAAAGACATTTACACTATATATAAAGATTGGGATGTAGAGAAATTGAATATCAAATTTTGTAAATTTATTCTTGGTGTTGGTAAAAAGAGTACAAACATTGCTATTCTGTCTGAACTTGGTAGATTACCCATGTTTTTTCAATCATCATTAGTTTACTATCTTATTGGCATAGATTAGAAAATTTGTCAGAATCATCTTTATTACATTGTGCATATAATGAGTGCAAAAATCTTAGTCAGTCTGACACCAATAACTGGTATGACACTGTTAAATTTTTATGTAACAAACTAGACCTTAATTTACTTGTATGTAAACAGTTAAATATGACCACATTTAAAGGACTACTGAAAAAACTTATCAAGAAGCATTTCTACCAATACTGGCTTAAAATACATGATGAGGGTCAAATACATGGAAAACTTGATACATATTTTTTGTTGAAGAATACCTTTGCCATTGAGAAATACTTGCCTTTAAAGTCTTTTGAACAGAGGAAAATACTGTGTAAATTCAGAATAAGTGCACATGAATTGAGAATTGAACGTGGTAGATATGAATATACAAAAGATATTAATGGGAAAAAGATCCCTCTAGAAAGAAGTCGACGGATATGTACTCTTTGTAATTCAAATTGTGTTGAAGATGAAATCCATTTCCTTACAAATTGTTTTTTATATAATGAAGAAAGGAAAGTTTTGTTCAACTTTTTAAGCGACAATTATAAAAATTTCAACACTCTGTCCAACAATCAAAAATTTTTATGGATTATGACAAATGAAGATGACAATATATTATGTAAACTATGTGACTTTTTATCCAAATCTTTTATTAAGAGAAAAAACCTCATAAAAAAATAATAAAAGTAAAAATGTCAGAAAATACATAATTTTTCAATTCTTGTGTACTACAGTCTTTACTACTAATGTACTTTGCATTTTTTTTTTTATATATTCTATCTTACAAACAAGTTTGAAAATGCATGTGCATTAATTGTCATTTTAATGTTGATGCCCCCTACCACTATATATATATATATATATATATATATATATATATATATATATATATATATATATATATATATATATATATATATATACATATATATATACATTGAAGAGTCATGTCTATTTTATGTACATGTTTATATAGGTGCATGTATGTCTAAATGATTTTTTTTTTCTTTTTTCTTTCAACTATATTTTAGGCCTTTCTCTTGTAAATTTGTTCTCTTTATGCTCATTTGGGCACTGAATTAGTAATAAAACATATCTTATCTTATCTTATCTTATCTATACGAATGGTATATGACTTCGAAAATTATCTAATTTGTTAAAAATAAATTATCATCTATTTAATGTTTGTTTTTTTAAATTGAAGCTACGATTTTAGCATTATCTCTCTTTTTCACAATGCAGGCCCATAGGAAGCAATTTCAGTTTGGGGGGAAGTGGGGGAGGGGGCACAGCCATACATTTTCAGCTGAGGGGGCACTATCAACTACCAAAAATTCCTTGACAAGCCAAAAAAAAGGTCATCAGACGTTTTTATTGAGGGGGCACAAGCATATAGTATCTATTTTTTCTATAGTAATCGGCTATATATCGGCAAAATTGTTGGGGGGGGGGGGGCGTCCCCCCCCCCCGGTTCCTATGGCCATGCAATGTATCTGATTGTAAAAATTAATACAATCACAACGACCACAGACACCACCGCTCAAATGACGCCACCTGCTACCCAGATATGTTTGAACTTGTATCTGTTAAAAAAAGAGAAAGAAAAAAAAATAAGAAACCTTAAGACAAAATTCAACTGTGAGCAATTAACTGATGATTTTACTACTAAGAATCAATGGAATGGAAAAGGAATGAAAGAGAAAAAGATTTAAAAATTATTACTGATAAGTCAAGGTGATAAGACGAGTTTTTATAACCCCCAAAGCTCTTATACATACATGTACATAGCTTTCAAGCCTTTCATTATGGAATTATAATTATTTCATATGGAATTATTCATTACGGATCGAATTATTCATTATGGAATAATGAGTAGTTTGCGTGAAAATTCTTATCTTTTCAAGTCATTTTTGGACTCATTTTATGGATTTTCAAGATTATTTTTAATGTAAATAATGATCTTCTAACTGAATCTGTGAGACTAAGTTCACATATACCAAGTTTCTTGCAAGTTAAGGAAAATCACGAGAGTGTAATAATAACTTTCAATGGCAAAGAGTATCCTATCATTTTGGACCTGCTAGAAAAGAAACCTCAACATCTTAAAAACAGCTACATGTAGTAATAAAAAAAAGACAGGGATCCGTTCACAAATCATGCACAAGATGAATCTGTCACAGTCACTATTTATCGGCAACAAGTACTCTACATACTAAAGGAGACCCATTTTCCTCATGGTTTCAAGAGTTTCTTGGTGATTTTAACAGAGACAAACTGCAAGACAGAAAATCTTCCCATCAACGCACATCTACTCCTAAAGCTATATAAAGC